ATAATTTTCAAACTATAACGATATAAATATTGATTTTTTTAAAAATTATATGATATCTTGAAATTTATATTTTATTTATAAGTAATAATATTATCGTTTTTTTAAAATCACATAAAATTATATAATAACATCGACATAAAACATGATAAAACAAATATTAAAATCGAAATATATTTAAAAGATATATTTTCTTTCACAATTATTGGGGAGTCGCTGTCGAGTCAACGGGAATTGATTATTGGGAAACAAAATTTTACTTGGCAGAGTCTGACCACAAACGTTCAACAACCAAAGATGAGGCTTCTTTCTTGTTTTTGTGTTGAATAACAGAACAACAATCAACAGCAGCAGAAGCACACTAACGCCACCATTTTTAACCCATCAAATCTCTTCTATTTAACCCTCCTCCTTTGCTCTCTTCCTTCATCAACATCCACTACCCCCTATCTTCTCTTTCATCCATCCTAATCATGACCTTCTCTAACCTTCTCTTTCTTCTGTTCACACTCCAATCTCTCCTGGTGGCTATGGCGTCAACACAACCAAAATCAGACTTATTTCGCGAATATATCGGTGCAGAGTTCAATAATGTCAAATTTTCAGACGTACCCATCAACCCTAATGTCGAATTCCACTACATACTTGCTTTTGCAATCGATTACACCACTTCATCTTCTGCATCCCCAACTGATGGTCAGTTCAATGTCTTCTGGGATACTGATAATCTCACCCCATCTCAAGTCTCTTCCATCAAGAATCAGCATTCTAATGTCAAAGTAGCTTTGAGTTTAGGAGGAGACAGTGTGGGAGATGGAAGTTGCTACTTTACCCCTTCTTCTGTCGATTCGTGGGTGTCTAACGCTGTCTCTTCGCTCACTAAGATCATCCAACAGTATAACTTGGATGGGATCGATATCGATTACGAGCATTTTCATGCAGATCCTGATACTTTTGCTGAATGCATCGGGAAGCTTATTACAACCCTCAAGAACAATGGAGTCATTTCTTTTGCATCTATAGCTCCATTTGATGATGATGAAGTTCAAAGCCATTACATGGCTCTTTGGAAGAGTTATGGTCACATCATAGACTACGTCAATTTCCAGTTTTATGCGTATGATAAGGGGACCACTGTTTCGCAGTTTATGAACTACTTTCAGACACAAAGATCCAACTATGGAGGTGGTGATATGTTGGCTAGTTTTATAAGTGATGGAAGTGGTGGATTGTCTCCTGAAAATGGGTTCTTTACGGCCTGTAATAGGCTGAAAAGTGAAGGGAAGCTTGGTGGGATCTTTGTATGGTCTGCAGATGATTCCAAGGCCTTAGGTTTTCGCTACGAGAAGCAATCACAAGCTCTGTTGGCAGTTTAGCATCCTCCTATGTTATATGTACACACATATATCGTTCGGTTTTCATATATGTAATTATTATGCAAGTGTATCTTGTGGCTATACTGTAATTAAAAGTACTTTTTGAATGAAATATTTTCATCTGTTCATGGTACAAGATTTGATCAGTTTATGAGTAGAAGAAGCACAAGGGTCATGTATGAAATTATGAACCCAAATCGATCAAAGCGACTTGTTTGATTAAAGGTCACTGAAAACCCACTTTGAACACAAGTTGTTAGGATGCCTTGAAACAAGTTTTGAATTAATCTGGCGTTTCTTTGCGATCCGACACAGAGTCTCTGTTTTGGGCTAGTTTGTTTATGTATAGGTGGTGGCACGGGCCATTGTTTCGTTCCTCTGTTTTAGTGTAAACAGTTTTAGGATTGTGAAACATGTCACCATATTATTTCGTTTGTCCTTGAAACTACAATGATAACATGTATAAGTACGTCTTGGTAGTTGGTTTGCATGGTTGTTTCTCCCTTTCCTTAGCGTGGGGTTTCGAATTATGTGAGCTTTGTAACGGATAAAAAGTGATAACATTTTAATTTTGGAAATCTTTTAGGCTCGTTCCGTTTCTCCTATTGATCCATCATATGAATCAGTACCGTGACGGACCTAAGATTTTGGCCGAGCGGGTACACCTTAAAGATAGATCAAAGTCCCGTATATTCACTAGATGTGTTTCTTAGCTGATGGTTGATTTTGAGGGGTTTTTTGGTTTTTCTTGTTGATTTCAAAAAATCACTTTTCATACCAATTCAACTTGTGAAAATCAATAGAGTGGGCGTAGAGGGTCCATATGTCCACCGCTAAATTATGAAGTTGGAGAGGATAGTGGGACCCACAATGGCTTCATTTCTAAGGTAGTGGGACCCACAATGGCTTCATCTGCATAAACCTCTTTATAAGGGTGTATATGTGTTGGGTTGATCGGGTTGAATATAGGTTGGGTTGATCGAGTTGAAGACATTTGATCAACCCAACCCAATGCTTGCAATTTGAAAAATCTTAACCCAATCCAACCCAAACTAAAGTGCAACCCAACCCAACCCAAACAGTACGGGTTGGTCGGTTTGATACTTTGGTACATTAAAGTATTCTTATAACCTTGAATATGTTACTTCTCTCATCATAATTTATTTTTTTTATTATCAACCATTTGATACAACTTATACATATTTCTTACGTATATCCCATTCAGTTAATTTTCTCAATTTACGCATATATGTTTAAAATTACTGCGAATGAGTTATATAGAGATGTGCATATATTGAAAAAATGTGTATATGAAAAACGTACGTGATAGTGTTATTGTCTAATGCATATATTAATAGAAATTCAACAATCATATTAAATCCAAGAAATAATAGGATATCAGGGTCATCGGGTTGGGTTGGGTTCAAATAATAGTAACCTAATATCTACGGTTTGAAAAAAAAAATTTACAACTCGATTAAACATCGGGTTGCTTCGGGTTGAGTTATTTCGCGTTGGGTTGGGTTCATCGAGTTGGTCGGGTTTTTGAGTACCCTACCTCTTCCTTTACACTTGGCTTGTGCCCGTTCTCATAATGGCTTCATTTCTAAGGGAGAGGTTCATGAATCTCTTCCCTTTCACAGCTGCAGATGCTCTAACCAAGATCACATGAAGCCATTTGAACAACAATCAAGTTAAACGTTTGGTTTCTACCATATACAAAATGTACTCGAACTCGCACAAGCAAGAATATTTAGTAAATATTTCACTAGCAGTCCGATCGATCGCGATAATTCTATTGTACAAACATACGACAATTGCAGCGTTGTAATAATTAGAGCCATATAATTAACTCGATATAATATATACTAACGAGGAACTGCAAGCAAAGCTTGTGACTGCTTCTCATACCGGAAACCTAAAGACATGGAGTCATCCGCGGACCAAACAAAGATCCCACCGAGCTTCCCTTCACTTTTCAGCCTATTACAGGCCGTAAAGAACCCGTTTTCAGGAGACAATCCACCACTTCCATCACTTATAAAACTAGCCAAGATATTACCTCCTCCATAGTTGGAGCTTTGTGTCTGAAAGTAGTTCATAAACTGGGAAACAGTTGTTCCCTTATCGTATGCATAAAACTGGAAATTGACGTAGTCTATGGTGTGACCATAACTCTTCCAAAGAGCCATGTAATGGCTTTGAACTTCATCATCATCGAATGGAGCTATAGATGCAAACGAGATGACTCCATTGTTCTTGAGTGTTGTAATAAGCTTCCCTATGCATTCAGCAAAAGTATCAGGATCTGCATGAAAATGCTCGTAATCGATATCGATCCCATCCAGGTTATACTGTTGGATGATCTTAGTGAGTGAAGAAACAGCGTTGGAAACCCATGAATCGACTGAAGAAGGGTTAAAGTAGCAACTTCCACCTCCCACACTGTCTCCTCCTAAACTCAAAGCTACTTTGACATTAGAATGCTGATTCTTGATCGAAGAGACTTGAGATGGGGTGAGATTATCAGTATCCCAGAAGACATTGAATTCACCATCAGTTGGGGATGAAGAAGATGAAGTGGTGTAATCGATTGCAAATGCAAGTATATAATGGAATTCGACATTAGGGTTGATGGGTACGTCTGAAAACTTGACATCATTGAATTCTGCACCAATATACTCGCGAAATAAGTCTGATTTTGGTGCAGTTGCTTGTGTTGATACCATAGCTAAAAGAGCTTGTAGAGTGAAAAGAACAATTAAAAGTTTACAGAAGCCCATTTTGATCAAAGTATTGTGTTGAATCTTGAAAGATGGTGAACACAACTACAAAATCAACAGTTAAATAGAAGTGTTTTCTGGCAAAATGTTAACAGTGGCGTAAATGTGCTTCTGCTGTCACTAAGTTTAACTAATTATTTTATGTTTTGAGAAACTAACAGGTTAATAATTCGTTCTAAATTCCATGTAACTTAAATCAAATTTCGATGTTATTGAAGACTCTTTTGTTTTAACCATGTTGTGATATGCCACATCCAAGAAGAAAAGCCACATAACGATCAGTGTTTCATTGTCACAAAAACCTAGTTTTTGTCCTATCGATCTTCACAAGAATACACAACGTGCCGCTTTCATTGCTTGTCTTTGGTAGTTTCGTGATCTTTTTTCTTATAAGCCCAAAAAAGACGCAATATTTATCTTGATATATTCTATTTCGGTGGTTGTGATCTGATCATTTTGATTAAAGATGGAACAGAAACAAGYTCGTAGAAATGCACCAAAAGTGGATTATGAGTCAAAATAAGAGCTCATCATCAGATACAATTTGATATAAAAATGGCTGAAGACTCATGATCAAATGGATTCGATGACGTACAGTATCTTATTTCTTATTTGGAAGGAAGAAAAAGGAAAACTATGTGCCCATGATGAAAGAAGGATGTTGATTATAATGAGTACTTTCACACATATTCTAAAACCAAAGCCTGAGATTCTTGTTCATATTTAAAATCAAAGGCTTTGGATTCATCTGCACACCACACAAATATGCCTCCAAGCTTGCCTTGCCTTTTCAACTCTCTGCAGGCCTCAAAGAATCCATCATTAGGAGGCAGACCTAAGTTACCTTTGCTTATGAAGCTGGCTAGAAGTTGACTTCCTGCATAACTTGAATCTTGTTGATGGTTAAAGTGATATATGAACTGTGAAACACTAAGCTTATCGTATGCGTAAAACTGGAAATTCACATAATCTATAACATGTCCGTATTTCTTCCATAAAGCCAAGTAATGACTTTGAACAGGTCCGTTATCTTCGTAGGGGGCGATAGAAGCAAATTTGATGGTCTGGCTTTTCTTTAGAATCGTTATAAGCTGTCCGATACATTCGACAAAAGTTTTCTCATCTGACCTGAAGTGTTCATAGTCGATGTCAATACCATCCAAATTGTACTGCTTGATCATGCTAGTAAGTGAAGAAACTGCATTTTGAACCCATGAGTGAATGGATTTAGGAGAAAAGTAGACCTTATTTCTGCCATTGACACTATCACCACCCAAGCTAACAGCCACTTTGACGTTTGGGTTCTTGGCTTTAACGGATGCTATTTCAGTTGGACCCAAATTGTTGGTTTTCCAGAAAACATTGAACTTACCGTTTGTGGGTGACGGGTGGTTATCGGGGGTGTAATCGATTGCGAATGCTAGGATGAAATGAACTTCAACTTTAGGGTTTATTGGCACATCTGATAACTTAACTGAGTCAGATTCAGCACCAATGTACTCGCGGAAAAGATTCGAGTTTGCAGCTGTATGATCAAGAAATAGATGAAAGGATTAGTTTCTAGCATAATAAGAACTAGGGAGGATGTGAAGCTTAACTTACCACTGCAAGATGAAATAAGGAGAAGAAAGAGTATGGCCATGAAAACACTGCAAAGCACCATGTTTTCTCTATTATGAATGGAGATTCCTGATGTTAATGATTGTTCATACAGCTGCCTTGATCTGTATTTCTTCTAGTCTGAGCTTAATGAGAAAGGGTGAAGTTGGGTTTTGGTGCAACCTAGTGCTTGATAAATATATCATTCAGCCGAAAGAAAATTATTCCTTGTTAGAGATAATATATCTATGCTGTATCTATTCTTGCTAGAATCTTTATAGGCGGTATCTCAACGATCCGAATAAATTATAATTAGAATCTTTTGGATCGACATTAACCTGATGAAATGGACTTAATTCTAACGGGGATGTTCGTCTGAATGGATGCGACAAATACGATGATTTAATTAGATATTGCTTTTAATGTCTTTCTTGTTTAGAGCTTTACAATAGATCCTGGTAATGAAAGGATAAGACTCAGATAAAGACAAGGATTTCTTGCTAGTTTAAGAAGATGCAAGACCAAGTGCATATATGTGTCCCCATGCTGCTTAACTAATACTGAAAAACTTACCATCTGAATGGAGAAGCTGCTTCAATAAGTTATTGCTCTATGAAATCTAGTATTCACTTGTTGCCAAAATAAACTCAACAACTGAAATTTTGGGTTGGGTTATGCAACATTTCCTTTTTACGCTTCAAATGAATAGTATTTCTTGAAAACATATATCTATATAGGGTTGGGTTCACGTGATACCAAAGGTTTTTCATGAGACCCGTAAGACCAATTTATGTTCATTGATCAACTTTATAAGCTAATGCTCTAATGATCTAAAGTTGCACGGTGATAATTTTGTGATTATTGAGAAATCTCGTGACAATTTTGTAATTATGAATGTTCATATTATATATCTAATCCAAGGGTTGAGAATTGGTCTTACAGGTCTTACGAAAAACTCTTGGTCTCACATGATCCCAAGTCTCTCTATATATATATATAAATTCTAGAACATGAAGACAGAAAAACTGCTAGACTTGTTGGGACTAGAATAGTGGGTTAGATATATATTCTCCTATATATATATATATATATATATATATATATATATATATATATATATATATATACAGAATTACTCATTGCTGCAAGACCCAAATTCTCCAACAGTTTATTGTGAAGGGATGGCTATATACCTGATAGATCTGTTATTTCTACATTAGTATAGTGATGTTCACATTTGGATTCCAGTTGTTAGCTGGGACCTATAGCATCATTATTTATTTGTTTGGTGAGCAATTCGACACGTGTACACTACAACAAAATTGGGTTTATAGAATGTTTAAGCATCATAATTATAGCATACTTTATAGCATTAAACTATAAAACATTCTATCTAAAGTGTTATAAGTTTATAAGACACTTTTAGGCATTGTAACCAGTTTTTTAGGATACTTTTAAAATATAGTGTTGTATTAGCTATTATCTTAAAAAATGTTCTATAGAAAAGATGGGTATAGGACACTTATCAAAAAACGTCCTATAAGATAGTTAATACGGCACTTTAGTTTAAAAGTGTTCTAAAAAACTTATTAAAACGTCTAAAAACGTTCTATAAACCCAAATTTGTTGCAGTGGTACGTGCTTCTAATGCTGCCGTGCTACATCTATTTAGATCTAACGTATCCTCTTTCATTTTAATCATGTTCTGAGCTAGAACGAAAACTGTCTAGTAGTCGATCAAACCGCATTGCCACAAGATCTAGTTTTCTGTCGTATTTATAGATCTAGTTCATGATTCGAGTGACGATATCTCATTTGATAATCGAAAGGAATGATAAGAAACCTGGGGCACAAGAATCCCATCAAACATAATGAACCCTTGATACAATTTATTCAGAAAGAGATGACGAAGACTCATCATCGAGTAGTTTCGAGTGATCACATCATCTTATTCGGTATTATTGAAAGGAAGGATAAAAGCGACTACGGGCACAAGAATCCGAACATATCGTACCCGTAATAACATAAGGGTGTTGATGATTATGTTGCTAACAAGGCCTGAGATGTTTTTTCATATCGGAAACCAAAGGCTTTGGATTCATCGGCACACCAGACCGATATGCCTCCAAGCTTCCCGTGTCTCTTTAACTCTTTGCAGGCCTCGAAGAATCCGTCATTCGGAGGCAAACCTAAGTTACCCTTGCTTATGAAACTGGCTAGAAGCTGACTTCCTGCATAACTTGAAGCTTGTTGATGATTAAAGTGATGTATGAACTGGGAAACACTTAGCTTATCGTATGCGTAAAACTGGAAATTCACGTAATCTATAACGTGTCCGTATTTCTTCCATAAAGCCAAGTAATGACGTTCGACAGGTCCATCATCTTCATAAGGGGCGATAGAAGCAAATTTGATGGTGCGGCGTTTCTTTAGGATCGTTATAAGCTGTCCTATACATTCGACAAAGGTTTTCTCGTGATCTTCCGACCTAAAATGTTCATAGTCGATATCGATACCATCCAAATTGTAGTGATGGATCATACTAGTAAGTGAAGAAACTGCATTTTGAACCCATGAGTGAATGGATTTAGGAGAAAAGTAGACCTTATTGCTGTCATTGACAACACTATCACCACCCAAACTAACAGCCACTTTGACATTTGAGTTCTTGGCTTTAATGGATGCTATTTCTGAAGGACCCAAATGGTTGGTTTCCCAGAAAACATTGAATTTGCCATTTGTCGGTGACGGGTGATTATCGGGGGTGTAATCGATTGCGAATGCTAGGATGAAATGGACTTCGACTTTAGGGTTTATCGGCACATCGGATAACTTAACCGAATCAGATTCAGCGCCAATGTACTCGCGGAAAAGGTTCGAGTTTGCAGCTGTACATTCATGAACAAATAGAAGAAAGAATTAGTTCTAGACTTCTAGTAAAGTAACAACGGTGCACCCAGACGTCACTACAACAAAATTGGGTTTATAGAATGCCAAAAATGTCAAAGTGTCCCAATAGACGGCTTATATGACTAAAGTTTACGAGACCAAACAATAAATCATCATATTTAAAAACGTTGTAATAGGTTTATAGGACGCTTTAAACGTTTCAACAAACTTCTTACAACATTTTTTTTAAATAAAGCGTCGTGTTATCTATTTTATACATAACATTGCACTATAAACACATCTTTTTACTGGACATTTGTGTTTACAAGATGTTTTTCAAATAGTATATAAAATAACTAATACGACACTTTATTTTAAAAATGTTCAAATATACAAAATCAACGCACATTTAAATAAAACACTTTCTGTAAACTTAAGTTATATAAAACGGTCTATTAACACGCTTAAACATTATTGGCGTCTTATAAACCTGATTTTATTGTACTGTGCGAAGCTAACTTACCACTGCAAGATGATACAAGGAGCAGAAAGTGTATAGCCAAGCAAAACATCATGTTTTCGGTATTATGAATGGAGATAGACGTCGTACCATATCGTCTTAATTTACGAATTCGACGATTGCTTATGTAGCTGAACTCGATCCGTCGTTTATCTGTCGGAGCTTGATTAATTTAAGGATTTAGCCGAAAGAAAAATTCTAGTTATCTCCGAGATACTGATGCTGTAGTCTTGCTAGAACCCGTATGTATAGGTGTGACCCGAATCTTTCGAATTGGTGTTGACCCGATTGATACAAATGGAGAACCATAGATTCTAACGTGAGATGTTCGTCTGAAAGGATGCAACAAATTATTTGATGAATAATATATTGTTTCTTCTTTCTTGGTTTGAGCTCTATAATGTTTATCAGCGTTTACCAAGTCACATTGCTTTACTGGATGCATACGATAAGAACCAAGAATCTTATCCGGTAAAAATGAAAGCAAGAACAAAGAGTGTTATCCTGTAAGTAATTGAGGGCAATGACTATTACGGTGGTTGGCGCTTACCGGGTAAATTGTTGCATACGATACCATTTTGTTGGATTAAAATCTTACCCCGTAAGTAAGTGACAGTGTTAAATTGGCATAAGCACTTACCCGGTTAAGTGCTTGGTAAACCATCTCTTAGACATTTTTAGCGTTTTATAAATCCAATGTTGTTGTAGGGGTGCTCATGAGTTGAGTTGATCGGGTTGAAGACATTTGAACAACCCAACCAATTGCTTGCGGTTTGAAAAATCTTAACCCAACCCAAACCAAAGTGCAACCAACCCAACCCAACCCGTACGGGTTGGTCGGGTTGATACTTTGGTACATTAAAATATTATTCTAACCTTAAATATGTTATTTCTCTACTCATAATTTCTTTTTCATCATCAACCATTTGATACAACTTATCCATATTTCTTACGTATATCACATTCAGTTAATTTTCTTAATTTACATATATATGTTCACAGTTACTGAACATGTATATGAATGAGTTATATAGAGATGTGAATAGATTGAAAATATGTGTATATGAAAAACATACATGATAATATAATTATCTAATGTATATATTAATAGAAATTCAACAATCATATTAAATCCAAGAAATAAAAGGATATCGGGTTCATCGGGTTGAGTTGAGTTCAAATTATAGTAACTTAATATCAACCTAATACCTATGGTTTGACAATTTTACAACTCGATTAGACATCGGGTTGCTTCGGGTTGGGTTATTTCGCATTGGGTTGGGTTGATCGGGTTTTTGAGTATCCCTAGTTGTAGCTACTGAGATTCACACTTGCTATAACTACAAAACAAAGAGGCTTCACTGAGGGAAAAACCCACCAGTAATATTTCACAGCTGGAAAAAGCCATCAATGACATATCTCATTGCCGGAGAAAGGTGGCTGGTGATCTTGATTACTCGGTAACGGTAAATCCACCGGTGATCTGCTACAAATCCGACGGTAATTACCGACGGGAGATTCCGCCGATGAAGCCTTTTCGCTTAATTTAACTAATTTAATACCCAAAAACCATATCCTAATACTTCGATAGGCGAAAGATGGGATGAAGACTGAAGTTGTCAAAACAAAGTCCTCAAATTCTTTTGAGATTTAAAGGTAAAAAAAAACTCCCTATTTGATGGATGATTTTTATAGGCTTTAACCTTGGTATTTCTCATTTAGTTATCAAAATAAAATTTACTTGCAAACAACGCAATAATTTAAAGAGTAGAACATTTTATAAATAAATAAATAACTTTTTATTTATAAGAAAGTTTTATATTTAACTGTAATGCAGCGGTTACAAAACTAGTATATATATATATATATAAACAGATAAACCTGAAGTCAACAATAGACAAAAAGTGGGGAACTTGCTTCAATAACTATGAAATTCAAGAATTAATTGGCATTTTGGATTTTAATAAATGCACCATTTTGCCTATTTATGCTTCAAAGTTCAAATATATATATATATATATATATATATATATATATATATAGACTTGGGATCATATGAGACCAAGACTTTTTCGTGAGACCCGTAAGACCAATTCTCAACCCTTGGATTAGATCTATAATCTCAACATTCATAATCATGAAATTGCCACGAGACTTCTTAGTAATTACAAAATTGCCACCATACAACTTTAGACCATTAGATCATTAGCTTATAAAGTTGATCAATGAATATAAATTGGTCTCACGGGTCTCACGAAAAATATTTGGTCTCACATGAACTCAACCCTATATATATATATATCTTGGTTCAAATACCAACCAAGATTTTTGTGTTAATTTTGTTAACCAATCTTGACCAATGATTCTTACAATAAAGGGTTGTGATTGTGATTAATCATGATAAAAAATTAAATTTTTAAATTTACAATTTCAAAGAACATATGTAAACAAAGGGGAAAAAGGGTATTTAAGTAATTTTCTTTTTTATGTAACTTCCATATCATTAATTGGGAGTTACAAAATCAAAAAATCTCATTATTTTTATTAATTTATTTTTGTTAATGTAAAAACCATATGAACACACACACACACACACACACACACATATATATATATATATATATATGAACCATTGTATCAAATACGAACAAAAATTGACATATATATAAACTTGGACTGTATAGCATTTATAAACACAATATGAATATAATAAGAATAGTTATTACACGAAAGTAAATAAAAAAACAAGTATGAACACAATATGAACAGTTTGTGAACAATAGTTCATTCATTATGAACACATTCAAGAACAAACCAATGTTGAGATATGCAGCTAGTGTATATATGAACACAATATGAACAACTTGTGAACAATAGTTTCTTTATTATGAGCACATTCAAGAGCAAGCCAATGTTGAGATATACAGCTAGTGTACATATGAACACAATATGAACAGTTTGTGAACAATAGTTTTTTCATTATGAACACATTTAGGAGCAAGACAATGTTGAGATATGCAGCTAGTGTACATATGAACACTTGTGAACAATTCTTTAACAATTACATATGAATTCGAATTTCGATTGTAGTCGTAGACGATTTTAACCTTTTCATTCGCATTGTTGTCGATCTGTTTTCCAATAGGTTTATCCATATTACTCGGACGATATCGAAATCTTTACAATCGAAAATTCTTTAACAATTACAAAATCAATATCATTATGGATAGAATAAATCGAAATTACAAAACATGAACACTTATAAAAAAATATCAATATTATATAATCATCAATTGTTGAGATTTTTAGATTTGTAACTCCCAATTAATGATTTGGGAGTTACATAAATGATAAATTACTTAATTACCCTTATCATTAATATATGAGTTATATGTGAACCTAAAGAAAAAATAGAATATGATTGGTTGAGCTTGGTTAACAAAGTTAACACAAAAATCTTGGTTAGTATTTGAACTAACCCATATATATATATATATAGGTTTGCATTTATTACATATCTTGTTTGCATTGTTACATATATGTGCCACTGTGGTCACTCATGCATAAATATCAACTTCATTAGTTAGAACTTTTAAAGTTCAAATAAATAAACACAAAACGTTAAAAAACATGATGTTTGAAAAAATAGGGTCAAACTTATATTCCATATTTTGCTTTAATTTAATTACATAAAATGGGATATATATATATATATGTATAAATATATATCTATATATATATATATATATATCTATATATATATCATGTTTATGTGTTATGATATTGAATATTGATGAGAAAATTAGATATGGTCTCCTAATTAAAGCTTTCCAAACAGTTATACGTTACATTTGTTTTTTAAGAGGTGCTGAAGTTTGATTTCACTTCTAATTTATAAGAAGTGGTATTGAAGTTTAAAATCTGAATCAATAAGATTGTTTGTTTTTACGTCTGAAGTTTGAAATCCGAATGAATCAAAGTAGTGAAAAAAAATATTTTTTACAAGAATATAAAAGATAAATAGTGTTTGCTAATAAATTTTTTCCTGCCCCCAAACTATGAACCATTTGATAGAGACGAATTAGGATTAAAAGATATTAAGGGATATGTTTACCACTTAAAATTCAGAGAACATTTATAGCTCTTAAGCTCTTATTTTAAAAATAAAACAAACGCTCTTAATATCCAAACGTCTGAACGAATCAAACTTCAAAAATATTAAGAGGTAATTTTGAAAAAAGAAAAAGACCCGAAGCCTCATAGATATGGTCTCCCAATTAAGTATTACCATGTGCTTAATGCACCTTCCATGTGCTTCAATTGATTGTGTCCTCAAGATGTAGATTGTTATATCTATGTATTCATAGTAAAAATGATTGAAAATTTTAAATATTTATAATTATTATAGTTAACTAAATGTTTTAGTTTAATATCATTGATGTTTGACGAGTGAAAAACGTCCAACAGTGAGGGTCTCTCTCCTCAACGTCCCAAATTGAACAAATCAAAATTGAAGATAAAAAATCGAGAGCCTAAGCAGATGAAAAAAATTCATTTCGAAATCAAAATCTGGAACAAAATATGTTCCTAACCTAACAAAAATCAAATAGATGAAGAATTCCTTTTAGAAATCAGATCCAGGACAAAATATTCTCCTAACCTCAACAAATTCAAACTGATTGGTTTGAGTTTGGCTCCAAAGGTCAAAAGTGCCAGGAGGTCCAAGGTTAAAATCCAAGGAGGAACAAAAATCCCCTTGTGGCCACGGAGGTTCAAATGTGGTGACTCCGGGCTACCTGCAAAACAGGTGGTTGCCCTGGGATTACTCGGCTCGCAAAGCGGGTTAGATATCCAGTTTAATCAAAATTCAAACTGATGAAGAAAAGCCTTTCCGAAATCAAAATCTGGAACAAAATATGTTTCTTATTGTAACAAAAATCAAACATATTGAAGAAAATCTATTTCGAAATCAAAATATGTTCTTAACCCTAACAATAAAAAAATAGATGAAGAACAAGAACGAAGATGAAGGCTGCAAATGTAAATCAAACGTCAAATAAGTTTCCAAATGCTTCTGCAGATCGAAGA